TTTTTTTTTTTTTGAGATGGAGTCTCGCTCTGTTGCCCAGGCTGGAGTGCAGTGGTGTGATCTCGGCTCATTGCAAGCTCTGCCTCCCGCGTTCACACCATTCTCCTGCTTCAGCCTCCTGAGTAGCTGGGACTACAGGTGCCCGCCACCACGCCCAGCTAATTTTTTGCATTTTTAGTAAAGATGGGGTTTCACCGTGTTAGCCAGGACAGTCTCGATCTCTTGATCTCATGATCCGCCTGCCTCAGCCTCCCAAAGTGCTGGGATTACAGGCATGAGCCACCATGCCCGGCCTGAACATACAAGTTTTAAGTATATCTCCGTGTATGACATGTTTCATAATAAAAATGTTTTTAAAGGAAAAAAGATTTTAAACATATTTGTAAAAGTTGCTGGGTACAAAATTAATTTATAAAAATCAAAGTTCTCCATATAAAAACTGTAACTAGTTAGATATTATCACCAAGAAAAAGAGGCAATAACAATTAAAACAACAAAAATAAAATACCAAAAATTAATCAGAAATTTTGTGTGTGTGTGTGTGTGTCTGTGTGTGTAAAATGACTTAGGGGGAAAAGGCAGGACTTCAATAAATTGAAAGAAAAAACACTGTTGGCCGGCCACGGTGGTTCACACCTGTAGTTTCAGCTACTTGGGGGGCTGAGGCAGAAGAGGATCAATGAGCCTGGGAGGTTCTAGTTGCAGTGAGCTGAGATCGCGTCACTGCACTCCAGCTTGCATGACAGAACAAGACTCAGTTTCAAAACACACACACACACAACATAACTATTCTTGGAAAGACTCAAAATCATAAACATATTCTTCTAAAGTTAACCTATAAATTTAACCAAATCTCTATTCCAGTAAAAATAGGAATGAAACTATTTTTGGAACTAAACAAATTGATTCTAAAATTCTTATGGGAAATAAATATTAAATATAGCCAGGAAAACTCTGAAGAAAGAAGAGTAATGAGGACAATAATTAAAACAGTTTGGTTCTTGCACATGAATAGACAGATACCAGAATAGTGAATCCCAAAATAGACACAAATATACTGGGGAATTCGTTACTATAAAGACAGCAGTTCACTAAATGAGATTGGGTCAACTCTAAACGAGATGGCTCTAGCCATCTGGAAAAAACAAACAATGAAATACAAAACTCAGTTTGAATCTGCACCTCTTTCTCTACACCAAAATCAATTTCAAATGGATCAAACATCTAAATGTAGAGAATAAAATCATAAAATACCAGAAGAAAATATGCAATATTTTTTAAAATAAAAAAAAAATTTTGGCCTGGTGTGGCGGCTCATGCCTGTAATTTCAGCACTTTAGGAGGCCTACGTGGGTGGATCATTTCAGGTCAGGAGTTCGAGACTAGCCTGGCCAACAAGGTAAGACCCCATCTCTAAGAAAAATATAAAAATTAGCTGAGCGTGGTGACGTGAGCCTGTAATCCCAGGTACTCGGGAGGCTGAGGCAGGAGAATCGTTTGAACCTGGGAGGTGGAGGCAGAGGCAGTAAGCTAAGATCACACCATTGCACTCCATCCTGGGTGACAGAGTGAGACAGATTACATCTCAAAAAAAAAAAAAAAAAATCTTGAAGAAAAATCATTTGAGGGCACGGTGGCTCATGCCTGTAATCTCAGCACTTTGGGAGGCCAAGGCCAGCAAATCACTTGAGATCAGGAGTTTGAGACCAGCCTGGCCAACCTAAAACTACAAAAATTAGCGAGGCGTGGTGGTGCATGCCTATAGTCCCAGCTATTCAGGAGGCTGAGGCAGGATAATTGCTTGAACCTGTGAGGCAGAGGTCGCAGTGAGCTGAGATCACGCCATTGCACTCCAGCCTGGGTGACAGAGTGAGACGCCATCTCAAAAAAAACACAAAAAAGGCCAGGCATGGTGGCTCAC